TCTAGAATTTTTTTAAAGCTAAGATAAACTTCCAAATGAATCCTGAGCAGAAGTCAATGTGAAACACACATAAATGTACAAATGCACTTCCCCATTCTTTCTGCCCAGCTTGGTGATATATTAAAATGGTTTCATGTTTATCAAAAGCTGATGCACTGTAGAAATGAAAGCATGACCAAACCAGATTCATTGTGTAGAAAACAACAATGCCTTTCATAGTGATGTTATTACCCAACCACTCATCCTGGGTTTGTTAGGGGGAAATAATGTCCCGAACAAACTCCACAAATAGGTTTATGGACGCCACCCACACCAGACCAAAGATATCCAAGACATCAAGAACTACAAATCCCATAATGTCATCATCACCGAAGGGATGATGGAAACTGAGGGTGGAGTTAAGCGCCAGGCTTGGTATATAACCAGACATGTGGGCCTTGGGGGTGTCTTGGTTTTGCCATTTTTCAGCGTTCCATTGGGATTCCAACTCAGCAGAACTGGTAGGATGCATTCACCAATTTATCTCTCTCTCTCTCTCCCTGAGTTATTCATTTCGTCATTTACCCTTCTTTTGTAAATAAATCCTTTATAAACCTTTTTGTGTGTGCCTGCAGTTGAGTCTTACTATAAGTCCCTTTCAGGTGCACAGGAAAGGACCCACAGTCAGGCAACCCATTTCATATGAGGGTTGTGTTAGAAAAGAGAGGAGGCCAAGAGTATCAGACTGAAGCGGGCTTATTGAAAGTCCGTGAGCCTGTGTGTGCTCTCTGAAGGTTGCCCTGTAACAGGTTCACCACTAAAATCTACCCTTTGGAGCTGCTTGTACTGGTAGTATCCTGTGTAAGATGCATTATAGCAAGGAGGAAAGCCAGTGTGAGCACTGTGAAATTTTTACCAGTACATCCTTGTAAGATTTTCTATTGTACTCTATAAAAGTTCTCTTTGTCTCATTTGCAGTGATGATTCTAATCTTTATAAGACCAAGTTTCTAAGTTACTAAAAAATTAAAGCCAACGCTAATGAGGCAGTAATCCCCAATCAGACATAAGAATGTGGGCACGAAGTAAATCTAGCTAATGACAGCTATAATTCACAAGAACAAAATTTTGCATCAGTAAAGCCCTAAAAGTTTGTAAAAGCCTGTTTTAGAGTGATTAAAGTATATTGTTCCAGTAAACTCACAGCACAGTGACAAAACATTCTAAACTCATGACATTTTATTTTATAACTCTGGGAAAGACATTATCTCCCTCCTGACACAGTAAATACAAAGGGGTTATAATCACAGTTTTTCCTGTTATTCTGGATTTTTAGACATGACCTTTCAGTTCTAATTCAGTGATGAAAAAGCTTCTGTATGTATAGTAGGGGACTAGAATTGCAAGGTCTGACTAGAATTAGGTAGGGGGGCCTCCCTGGTGGTGTTAGGGGTTAAGACACAGCATTAAGATGCAGGGAGCTTACCCACATGGCACAGCAGACCTCTCCTGTCTCACCTGCTGCTCCCCTCAGCAGTGTACTTCAGTCAGTCTGCCTGTTCGGTTCCCCACTCTGTCTCTGGTGAATCCTCTCACCCCCCACACCTCTAGCCTGTACCCCAGTTCTTATATACATAAATAAATCCTCAAAAAAAAATGAATTAGGTAGGTACAATTCCCTGCTATTTTTGGTATAAGCATTCTTATGGAAAGTATACTCCCAAATTGGCAGAAAGGGAAATTTAAAAAAAAACAAAAAACAACTCACTAGCTTTTGTTAAATCAGTTCCAGAAAAGAACTGGGTTGGACAAAAGTTCACTGGCTAACTCCAGTTCTACATCGTATTATAGAACTTTTCAAGGCCTGATATTCCTAGAGGAAACCAAAACCAAAGTAGGAGATAAAAATGCCTTTTTTCAAGTTCTAAAAAGTCCATTTCCATGGGTTTAATATCCCCTACAACGTGCCACATTGCTGCTAATTTTTCCTCTTCCCAAATGCAACAGGAAGGAAGATGAGAAAATATTTATTAGGTCTTCATTAACAGCTTTACAATAGGGAAAAAGGGAGCACCTCCACCCCCTGCTGAGTTCTCACTTTGCTTTTCGCTAACTTTCATTGTGGGAGGGGAATGAGACACTATCACCCCACGTGTCACCTGCATAACCCAAACCCATACCCCTCCTCAAAACCCAGGACAACCGCTTCAACTCCTGCCATTTTACTGCTGTCCTGTGTACTCCCCGTCCCCACCCTTAGGCACCTCTGGTGAGTGGGTTCATATTCCCTCTCTCAATTCCAGAACCCCCATGTCTTTGTTATGCATGATGACCCAAACAATACAGCTCAAGTACTGAGCTCTCTAGAGGTCTGGTCTGGTCCATGGCAGAAATTGGAAATATCTGAGGGCAAATTGGGCTCCTTATCTTTTAGGCAATCTTTCCTTTGGTAATATTCTTCACAGATAGGCTTTTGGAAAGAACTAAAAAGCTGAGTTCAAGATTGTAATCTCTAAAACTATCAAGCATAAATATTTTATACAGAACAAAGCACTTATAATTTTGACAGCATGAGAGATGTAACATCTCCCCACTACTTAGGGTTCAAGCTTTTAATATTGCCCATAATCAGAAACTGACATTACCTACCCAATATGATTTTTCAATCTTCCCCCAAATAAATTATCTGCTATGATCTAAGCATTTCTTCTGACCACAATCTTAACTATTACATGCACAAGGTCCAAATACTGGTCACCCTAATTACTGTCTCATCATCTGTATCATTATTTTATCAGCATCCAAAAGATTGCCATCCAAAATTACAGTATACACCATATTAAATGTCTATAATCAGTAAAGAAAAGTTCAATTCCTTAACCCAACATGTAACTTTTAAGATAGAGTTTTAACAGCAATACTGAGTACTTCAAAATTTAAATTTGACCATTTCTTTTGCCTTATTAAACCAACACTTTGTTTCATTTTGAAAAGTTTTTATTTCTTCCTTGTTAATTAACCTAATCCTTCTTTCCTTTGAGAATCTAAAGAGCAGCTGGATTGTGCAAGTCGTTGCCACTGGAGTGAAGAGTTTTGGTTTGTTCTTTTTATTATTATTCTGACCCAATAATATTCATTGGCAGAGACTCTCAAAAACTGGCAAGAGCTATAAATTAGATATCTGAACTATTCTCCCTCACTATACAAAAGAGCTGTCCAACTTTCCAGTACCAAAATGCTTTAATTTATAAGATTTCTGCCTTAGGGGACTAGAAATTTTGCCTCTAAATTAGATGAACTTGTGGGTTATGAGTTATTAATTATGCAGCATGAAGCTTTGGGATGAGATAAATTGAACTAAACCCTAAAGCTGACTGATATGTAACATATCCCATATTTGTTGGATGAGAAAACAGAGCAAAACCTAAAAGTTGGCGTCATGGCTTGGATGGAATCAGAAAGATCCAAGTCCACTTTCCAGATTCATTATCAAACATTTAACTGATATTCCCTGACTCAGTAAATGTCTAAAAGCCACTGCATAAGAGATTAGTCCTATTAGTTTTCTCTATTGCAATCCCTAGAAGAGTATAAACAATGATACAGAAAACTGTCCAAAGTAATAGATCAGGAGATAGACCAACAGATAGATAGAAACATAGATAAAATTTATAAAAATTAAATATTTACTTACATACATACTTTACATAGACAAACAAAAACCTCCTAATTTAAGAACAAGAGAAAGCAAAGGGTGGCTAATAATGCCTAAAGTACACATCAGCATTTGCATTTCACTCCCTAGGTATAAATTCTTTTGTTTGGTACCATAATATAGGGAACAACAAATTTTTTAGTTATACTTAAATATCAAAAAGATATAGTGAATAATATAAGAATAAAAATAAGTCATATCTACTAAATGTAACTCTTTAAAATAGACAAGGAAGAATAATAAAATGATGTGTTAAAATTAGTTTTTCTTTTAGACTTTGCTATGATTAAAAATCTAAGGCTACCACCAAACTTTTGGCATATTAACTTAAGAAACTATGTACCCAAAAATCCCTTAAGTATCCTAACCAATGCAGTAAAATAAAACCAACTAGAGCATGAATTTTCAATTCAGTCAACAAAACAACAAAGGATTAGTAAGTATCAAGGAATATCACCTATTTTTTTAAAAAATATAGAAATATTAACTATAAATGATGAAAATAAATTAATATATCCAAGTATAGTTTTTTAGTTTAAATTGAATTCAGGAAATATCTCAAAAAATTCAAGATGCTGTTTCCCAAATAAACCTACAATTACTTTGAGAAAAAGAAATGGAGAGGAGAGCCGAACCTCTGCAGCACATGTTCAATCCCCAGCCACCGGCCAGGGAGCAACCCACATGGCGCAGCAGACCTCTCCTGACTTGTCCACTTCTCCCCTCAGCAGTGTACTTTGGTCAGTCTGCCTGTTCTGATCCCCACTCTGTCTCTGGTGAATCCTCTCACCTCCCACACTTCTGGGTTGTACCCCAGCTCTTGTATGCATAAATAAATAAATCTTAAAAAAAATAAAAAGAAAAGGGAAAGATACTATTTATTTTCTTCCAATAGAATTTTTATGATATAATTCAGTCTTGAGGCTCCCATTGACCTAATATCCACATACAAATTGCATTTATTGCTAAAAAAACTAAAAGGAATCTTATCTTCCTTCACACACACACACACACACACACACACACACACACACACAGCCCTACCTTAATCCTAGGCACAGCAAAACAGAAATTGATTACCATACCAGCAGATACTGTGAATTGTAAACTCAGTAAATATGAGCGTGAACATGAAAATTTGCAGCAGTTACTGCTTTTTCTTTCTTTCAGGGATAGATCTTATGTGTTAATAATTATTTCAGGAAACTTAGTGCTGAATTAAATATATAAAGATACATGCTCAAAGCATTCATCACACAGTCAACAAAGTATTTATCACACATTCAACCTCTCTATTGCTTTGGGCAAAGTAGCAAAGTCACAAAGAAAATCGACACTGTTGAGGCAAAAGGCAAAAGACAATCTTTATTGGTGTGTAGTAACAAAGAGGTAGCTAAGAAATAAAAAAAGTGCCACCACTGCTCACCAATCATCAATTAAATAAGATCTCAAAACATACTCTGATTTGGGGGGAAAAAAACTTAATTGCAAACAGTTTATTTCATAGTAGCTTGTCTTCCCCAGATGTTAATGGAGGAATTTTTAAAAAATCCAAATGGATTACATCGAAAATGATGTTGTTCTTTCTCCTTTTTAAAAATATTTTTGATTTATAACACACACGAAACATATGCATAGAAAAACATTTAGAATTTTCAATCCTTTTTTCAAATGGAGATATCACTGTTCTAGAAAAATCTCCCTGTATTTGTTTTGCTTTCTTCAGAGTCTTCCTTTACTTCAAGAGTTTTGCTACAGATATATGTTAGCTGTAAGTACCAAGACTTGATTTGCCAGTTTCCACAAGTAAAGAGGCAGCTTTGGTAGAGAACAGCTAGAGAACAGCTTGGTCTTTCACGATTACTTCTGGTAGGATTCTCTCACTTTGGCCTGCAGGGCATCACATGTCTTCTTGGCATCTCCTAGCAGCATGGCCGTGTTAGGTTTGTAGAAGATTGGATTGTCCACTGCAGCATAGCCAACACCCAGGGACCTCTTCATTACGATAACCTGAGAGTCAAAGATCAAAAGAGAGCACATTTTTTTTAAAGATTTATTTGTTTGTTTGTTTGTTTGTTTGTTTATATAAGCACTGGGTATAATCAGAAGCGCGGGAGGGTGAGAGGATTCACCAGAGCCAGAGCGGGGAACAGAACAGGCAGAGTGAAGAAATACACTGCTGAGGGAAGCAGTGGGCGCAACAGGAGAGGTCTGAGTGCCATGTGAGACCCTTGGTGGTGGCTGGGGATTGAACAGGCACTTCAAAGGCTGCGGGCCGCTTCATAGCCCAGCACTCAACCGCTGTGCCACCAAGGAAGGCCCAAGACAGCGCATTTAACAGAACCTGGCTAGGGCCTGTTAGGCACACAAATACTGCCCTGCCCTAACATAATGACAGGGAGGTACCACTACTACTTCTTAGTCCACAGACTTTTTACAAGTACAAGGAGCATTTTAAATGCATGTTTACATTGTGTTAACTTTAATTTTTACAATGTGTTAACTTTAATTTTTAGAATGTGCCTATATTCTCATACACATTTTAGAAAAAGTCACACTACCATAATTTAAGAATGATAAGATTAGAAGTAATTTTCTTCTAAGCATTTTTCCCTATGAGGACTATGTATAACATTTTCTGGTCAGAAAAATAAGTATTTTTCTACAAATGTGCTAAAGAAAACCTTAGTTCCTAAGCTCCACTCTCTTTCCTAAGATAAATGTATAAATGTAGCGTAGTGCGAAAATGATGTGATTTCTATGCCATCACTCCAGAAAGGTCTAAGACAAAAGCCCAACACGAACTCTAGCTTGTCACAAGGACAGAGCTAATAGCCAATATCATGCACCTACAAAGCAAAATGGAAGGAGTAAGTCCATCTCTAAATTGCCAATATTAGATATTGCAAATACCTAATATTTACAATCATATGTGATATGGATGTTACTGTCCTGTTGAATGTCAAGTCAGTTCTTAATGAAGTGAAAGCCTTTGTAGGGTGACATGTAATTTACCCACAAGTGGAAGCAGTGCAATCATGCTTCATGCAGCTTTGGTTCAAAGATGCTCCTGCATACTCTCCTGTACTGACAATGGATGCAACAATTCTTCATGAGCCCCTGTGCAAGGAGTAGAGGTCCACTACCGCCTCCCACACACCCAGGAAACTGCCTGCCCCTCAGTTGCACATGAACAAGTACATGTCATTTGAAACATAATAAGTTTCAAATTCACATATTTGCAATGAAGAGAAATAAAATTAAAGGAAAAATGTTACTATGATTCTTAAAATGCGCTTATGACTTGGAAGTGGTAAAGCACAAGTGCCCACTGCTAGGGTAGAGTAAAATTTACAGCCTTTTGAGTGTTCTACAATCTAGCAATTAGCTTTTTCAGAAGTACTGTGCAGAAGCAGAGCCTGCTTCCCCATGCCATGTTGTTGTTTGGATTTCTAAATCACCTTTCTTTTAGACACCCCATAACAACATACAAATTCCTTTTTAAAAAATGAATTGAAAAAAATGTGCTCGTGTTCATATATAAAGGCAATGATACTGACTCACTGTCCCAGAAGGAAGCCATCTGCTTCACTGGACTCAGTTTGGAATTCAGCCAGACTCATTCCAAAATCTCAAAGCTCCTTTTTCAGCTGTGATTACAGATTTTGTTAGTCTATACATATAATCTCATCTAGTTCTACTTGTGAGCAAGGCATTCAAGGTCTCTGGTGATCACAGACAGAAGATAGATAGAGAACCAGGTCCTAATATCCTCTAACTCCTGGGCCTCCTAAAGGCATCACCATTTCTCATCTAGTGACCAAGAATAGTTCTGTGTATTTTAAAAGATTTGTGATTATTAGAATGAAACACAAATCTAAAACTTTACCTGCTTTGATTTCCAGACCTCCAGGACTGGCATGCCTGCAATTATAGAATTGGGGTCTTCTTGTGCTGCTGAATTAACAGTGTCATTAGCTCCAATAACAAGGACCAAATCAGTGTCTAGAGGATGTGAAAAAAAAAAGACAAAATATGAAACTCAAAAGGGTCACTTTCACTTCTTTTCAGGCAAATGATAGTGATCTGAATTTATAACAACAATAACAAAAGCTAGTATTTATAAGACCCACATATGTGCCAGGTACTGTACAAAGCGCTTTATCAGAGAGGTTCAGTATCTTATCTTGGTCAATGATACACAGCTAAAAAGTAACAGGTCCTGCATCTGATCCTCAGCATCTTGACAAGAGCAAGCTGGCATTACTATGCTTCCCAACCAGCCCCAGCAAATGGATCTACCTAATCTGATTTTACAGTTATTTAATTATTCCAAAATAATGATTATCTTTCAGTTACAAGATTTGCATCCCAGTTAAGATGCAATTTAATGTCTAAAAGAAAATGTTCTAAGCCTGTATTGTATTAAAGCTATGTCCATAATTCCTAGAACTGGCAGATTTCACACATAATTTAGCAACAGTGAAATGTGAAAGGGGGTATAAAATTAAAATGCCCTAAATTCTCTCCTTAAGGACTATAATATAAACTGCCTAAGAACTTTGCCAAAAATGCCATGTGAATGTAGACATACACACGACTTCATTATTTTTCTCAAGCAATATTTTTTAAGTTTACAGTGGATACTTGCCAGAGGGAACTGGTTTAATTTTAACAAACATGATCTTGGGCCAAATGTCATTAGCATCAATATCTACCCCCTGACAGCCATAAAGTATAGCACCTTATCCAGTGAAGTCCTATCATAGAACTTTTAAGAAAGCAGAAAACTACTTTGCTGATCATAGAATTGGTGCAAACTCAAGACACTGGCAAGAACCATGCAGAAGCAATTTTATAAGTGAGAAACCTAAGGTTGAGTACCTAGTTCAAGGCCACACTCAAGTGAGAGTCAGGACCTGGATGCCCAGATCTGAGCAGAGTCTGTGCCACCCGCTCCACGGCAGATCCCTTCAGATCTCCTCACAGGATTAAAATTACCCATCCGCTTACCAATCTGTTGTACCTTATTCAGTACAGTATCATATTTATTTAATTTCCATGTATATCTACAAGGAGCAGGCTACTCTTCACCTGACTATTAGATCTTCCGCGATCGCACAATTTATGTCCTAAGACTGATATTGCTTTATTCATCTGAAGGGTATTTAAACTTCACCATCACCCCCAACACTTACCTGGGAAATCATGGTTGATCTCATCCATCTCCAACACAATATCATATGGCACGCCGGCCTCAGCCAGCAGCACATTAAGCTGACCAGGCATCCGGCCTGCAACTGGGTGAATTCCAAACCTAGACATGAAACAAATGAACAGCTGGCCTTACTTGATGGGCCAAAATGTACAGAGAACCCAATATTATCTTCAAATCTGCACACTTTCTTCTTGGCCCCTCTACTTCTCTTGGTACTATCTGATCTCTACAGGCAGGAATACAATTAATCCAGATACATAGTCAATCTACAAATATTGAAGTTGGATATTCAATATCTCAGTATATACAAACTATAACTCTTCTCAGAAAAAAATAAATGTAACTTAAGAATCTGACTCTTCCATATATGTTTTAAGTACAATGAACTTCCAAAAAAATTAAAAAATAGTATCATCTTACAGTTCCTAAGCATTGTGTTCTCTCATAATACTTTCTGATCAATGTTAAATCTTTTTAAATGTATATATAAATTGGACTGGAATTAAATGTTTGCCATGAAAAATCAACATTAGTCCAGCAAAAACTGACTCCACATTCAACTTTAACCTCTATGTTCAAAGGGAGAGAAATAAAATACTATTAGGTACATGAGGTAGAGTTTCAGAGTAATATGAAGTGTTCCTTCCCGTCAAACAAGAAACGTGATAGGAACACACAAGAGTGTTTAAAAGACAGAGAAATACACAAGGTAGAGTTCCACTCTTATTCAGTCAAAGGAAACTGAAGCATCAAGCAGTTTGTTTCAACCGCAGCTATAATAGGATCTCTGGAGTCATTTAATCCAGTGTCTTGCCCACAATACTCATCTCTGTCTTCTCAGCACTGGGCACTATGCCTGGCACATAAGAAGGGCTCAATAAAAAGTGAGTGATGAGCAAGCGAGGGAGAAAACGAATGAATGAATCCAACGGAGAAATGCCTTTTATAGTTTCACTTGGCTGGGATCCATGCAACCTCGGCTTTAATCCTTCCATGACAAGAAACTTACTCCTTCCTAAAGTCTCTTCCATTACAAGACAATACCAATGAGTTTAGATAAGCAGATAGATGAGAAAAGAGGGGGTAATAACTCTCTCTCTCTCTCTCTCTCTCTCTGTCTCTCTCTCTCTAATATATATTTATATATTAGCCAAATCTCTTTAATATATATTTATATATTAGCCAAAGAGAAACTTCATCTTGTGGTTTTGCCCTCTGGAGGAAGGAGTATCCTCCCTCGTTCATACGCAAATCTCTTATGCCATCTTAGGATGCCTCCCAAGCAAACATCTTCAGTTCTTTCAAGTGTTGTAAGAAAAGACAGGACATCCCAGCCCATTACTGCCCCAGACACCATCTACATTGTGAATGTCCAGCTTAAAACCCTCAGTCCTCCAAAGTGAATACAATATGCTGGATGGTATCTAGTTGCATAAAACACAATACACAGTTCTTTCATTAATTAAGTCAGACTCTGCATTAATAATCTTCAATAATAAAATTTTCAATTCAGAATTTAATCATTATAATGTAAAGCATAATTATATGCATAGAGAAAATATCAGAAAAATATAGCAAAAATTATTTTTAAAAAAAATGTAGGAATTGACATTTCCCAAAAAGCCATCCTAAAAAGAGCTATGTAACAGTCATTTATATTGTCTAAATACTGTTGGTTTTCTACATCTTTAAAACTGATAATGAAAAGCCTGAATTATTGGGTGTTTATAACTGGGGATAGGGGTAGGAGGAGGAAAGACATAAAGTGACAGGTATTTTCTTTTACCAAGTTCCCCCTTATATAATCTTCTGTGACTACTGAATGTTTCTAATTTTTAAGAAACAGAAATGTAGCTAAATGCAAACTAAAGACTCATCCCTACATGTATGAACAACAAATAGTGGTTTTACTTCCCTTCTTTTTTAATAAATTTTCTATGAAAATATACAGTTTTATGGTTGAAGAAATGAACTTCATTAAAAATAAATTAACACCTCAGGCTTTTACATAGTGATACAATTTACAAGTGGTTTCTCACATATATTTCATTCTATCCTACAAGGAGGAATAAATATTTGCACATCACATATCCAACAAGGGCTTAATATCCAAGATCTACAAAGAACTCCTGCAACTCAGCAAGAAAACAGCCCAATGAAACAATGGGAAAAGGAGCTAAACTAGTTTCTTTAAGACATGCAGATGGCCAAAAGGCACATGTAAAAATGTTCAACATCAATGATCATCAGGAAAATATAAATCAAAACCACAATGAGATACTACCTTATACCCCTGAAAAATGCTCATTTCAAATAATAACAGAAAACACAAGTGCTAGCAAGGAATGCAGACTGGTCCAGTCCCTATGGAAAACAGTATGCAGGTTTCTCAAAATATTAAAATAGATCTACCAAATGGTATAATTCCACTCTGTATGTATGTATCTAAAAAATGTAAAACACTAATTTGAAAGGATAGACACACCCCTATGTTCATTGCAGCCCTATTTACAGTAGCCACATTATGGAAACAACCTAAGTACCCAATACAGACAGGTGGATTAAGAAGATGTGGTATATAGACAAAATGGGAAACTGAGGAAATCTTGCCATTTGCAACAACACAGATAGAACTGAAGGGAATTTTGCTAGGCAAAATCAGTCAGAAGGAGAAACACACAGCAGGTGATTTCACGCATATGTGGAATATAAAGAAACAAAACAAAACAACAGACAAAACAAACCCTAGAAATCTGACTATAGAGTGGAGTATACCAGAATGAAAGTCAGGGAGTATGGAGTTAAGGGGAGAGAGGACCCAATGGGCTATGGTGAAGGATTATGAGTGTCTTGGTAGTAGGTAGATGTGGTGTGATAGCATACCTCTGAAGGAATAAACCTACACCCTAAATTACATACAGCATAGTAAACTTACTGCGGTTAAAAAAAATACAATTTTTTTTAAAATCTGAAATAATTTGAACATCAAAATAAATAAGGATAGTAGAGGTCAGAACCCCCTGGGTAAGTGGGAATTTATGAGGCAATCTGATAACATTCACAAGTCAACAAGTAAGTAAATAAAGAAGAAAGGAACATTCTCCCCTAGGGTGGCATGCTATGGACTGGATTGATTAAAGTGGTAAGATAATAAAATTGTCACTTTGCAACCATCATAATAAAGATTGTTCAAGTGCAAATTATCAGCAAGTATTCAATCGAGGAGTCAAGTTCAAGAAGAAGCAGGATATATGCAAAATCTTATAGAGAAGTCAAAGAAGTCCCCCCTGCCTCTTTACTCTTACTCCAAGAAAGAAAGGGAAAAAATAAGAATTTCAGTGCTTTCTCTGATAGCTACTTGATTGAAATTGATCGATAAAAAGAATGAGCAGTTGTTAGAAACAGTAACCATCTGTTAGAAATAATAAGCATCTACATTTTTGCTTGATGGGCATGTGATTAAGTGAACACAGTCCATATTTCTCTTTCTCCTCTGCTAATAGTTCCTTGTAAATACCTCACAAAATAGATTGCTAAACTTAACAATATGAATCTCAGTAAAGAAGTTAAACTGCAACTGTAATTTATTATGTATTTTAATGTACTGTTTTCCCAAATAGTACATGAGGACTGACAGAATATTTTAACTCAATGTTAAATAACTCAAGGCACAGAGAATATGCCACAACAAAGGCAGAGATCGTATAATTAAATTTTAGTGTCCTAATATGTATTTTTCAATAATGATGGAACAAAACAATTTCTCAAAGAACATATCTTAAAAATCAAAATTTTTCATTTGAAAAGGTCATTTCAATTTACAGAGGTTTTTAGTAATATATCTAAAGTATCAAATTGCATTGCTAATCAGTTGATTTTCATTCAAAGGTAATGCCATTTTGCATTTCAACTGTATCCATTTCATATCAACATTTTAAATTAACACAGGGTGTTTTCCACATTCAGGAAAGGTACTACTACTTCTATCACTGACTAGAACCAATGATAAAACTAAATAGCTAGATTTAATCCAGGAAACTGCATCTTAAAAGGCTCACAAGGGTACCTGGATGAGGTTCAGGAGAAATTCAAAATACCTAACTTCGAAAATAACACACACTATATGACATAAGATAATTTTACTTGGGGAAAAAACTGATTTCTGAGAAAACTAAACAAAATAGAAGTTAACTAAATATTCCTCATTTCCATAAAACAGAAGAACATGGCCTTTCAGTGCAAAAGAAAGAATTGGAATTAAATTTTTTAAAAGGCTGTTAATAATTTAAAACAAATGGCCTCATTAGGGCAAATTTCAGACTTCTTTTCTGTCGTCAGGGAAACAGAGGTTCATTAATTTAAGCAGATGTAGTACCTACCAGTCCAGTACAAAATGGATTCAAGAGTAAGTGACATATAAATACAAAGGATGGTTGTTGGGATCAGACAAAATCAAGACACTGACATCATGGCAGCTGAGACAGCCCTTCACTTATGAGAGATGGGGGAGGGATCTCAACCAATGGTATCAACTACTAATAAGAAAGAAGCAGCTGAAATGCTCTCAGGTTTCCTGAACATTTTTGCCCTACCTCAGTCTTACAGTATTGATTGTCAAGAATTATTCATTTGTTCTCTTTTGTGATGTTACGTTACACCAAAATTTTCTCCTGATCTCCCAATGCTCTGATCATCAGTAAGTGTTTTTTCAGTGCTCATCCTCTTACCAATATCTGATTGGGAAGACTTGAGAAAGACTGAGTCACTGGACCACATGATATTTAAGGACTATGTTATCAATAGTTTCCTACTGCTGCTATAACAAATTACCTGAAAGTTAGTATCTTAAAATAAAAAAAATTTATTCTCTTACAGTTCTGGAGGTCAGAAGTCCAAAATCGGTTTCACTGGGCTAAAATCAAGGTATTGTTAGGGCTATATTTTCTCTTGAGGCTCTAAGGGAAAATTCTTTCCTCGCCTATTCCATACACAGAGAGAATATCAGAAAATACAACAGTTCACATATGCCTTTTGGCCCACTGTAGGTCTTTTCCAGCTATGGCAGCTGCCCACATTCACTAGCTCATGGCTGCACCACT